TGCAATCGTTGCACATAATTTTTTTAATAAAAATCCAAGATTTAAAATATTTAGTAAAACTTTTAAACATTATTAACTGGCCCTTATTGGTTAATTAAGACATCATACAAGGTGTTTTGCTGAGGTTATAAATAATTTGTTCATTTTCATAAAATAAAATTTGTGTGACATTCAGCAACTGTGAGACGGCATTCTTACTACTTTTTTTAATTTTTTTTGTGGCAGTTTATCAATACTGCCTAGAATACAGGATACAGCAGTAATTCTATTAATATTAAACATTGTTTATTTATTTTTCCTTTTTAATTTAACAACTGCATGTGTAAACTTTGAAGTATAAAAATGCCACACAAATGAATATAATCAAACTTTTTATTATATATTTCACAACATTTAATACATACAGTGCACATCTAATATTATAAGCAAATAGTATAAAACAAAGTATAGATTTTATTACACAAACACACACACACACACACACACATATATATATATATATATATATATATATATATATACATATCAGAGCTTGACACAACAGGACTACACAGGGAATGACTTATTGAAGCTTCAGGCATAAAATCTACAGTGAGTAATTATGTAGCCTACTTTATTTTAATTCTTTAATAATCTATCATATACTAAAATTACATACAATTAAATGAATTTAGAGAGACAGGGAAAGCTGGTTTGAGTAAACAGAAGTCAGAGTTAGTCTCCGAATACTTACTTAAATTATGAGAAGAGAAAGAAGAAGAGGTCCTGTAGTTGTGGCATTACTCGCTGTAAAATGGAATATTACACTTAGTGTCATTTCAATAACAGCTGTACAAAATAATAAAGTAATTTTTCATAAACATTATCTATTTTCCACACTATAGACATACTGTGTTCTGAATAACATAACTGCATGTAATATAATAGTAAATAGAGTAGTATTCTCCTTACCTCATCTAATTGTTATTTTCACAGATCAGGAATATAGCAACACTGTAATCTGAGGTGACTTTACCAACCATAAACATTCTGAAAGACAAGTTACACAAGTAATTTGAAAACAACAGTGAGTGGCTAAATAATAGAGTTTATGCAACTTACACATAATTAAAATCCAGAAATTATCAATACAAGATTACCTCAATGTGAAAACAGTTGATAGCAGATCTTTTTATTGATATCAATATTATTTAGGCATTTTAACATCAATTTATATTTTTTAACTTGGTGATAGATGGGAATAGATCACCCAAACTAACAATTCTGTCATTTAGCCTTATCATTTACTTGTTCCAAACATATTTAGCTCTTTTTTCTGCTGAACAATAAAGAGGATATATTGAATAAAGCTGGAAAACTGTAACTATCTCTGCCTTTCTCATCTTTTTCCCATTTCTCTTGCCATAATCTTTTAACACCTTCTTTAATTATTGTCTTGATTTCTGATTTGTTAAGAGGAACTTGTATTTCTATTTGGTTTTATTATGCTTGCAATCTGTCATTGACAACATTATTAGACTATTTTATTCACTAGTAAAATCAGACATTTGTCATTAGCCCCTTTCACACATACAGACCTTTCCGGAAAATTACCGGCAATTTTCCGGAAAGGTTGTATGTGTGAACAGGTCCTTTTTGAAAATACCGGTAAATTTGTTCTGGCTATTTTCCAGAAAGAGAAGTTGTAACATTACCGGCAATTTGCCGGAATGCTGCGCTGTGTGTATGCAGAAGAAAGATTGCCAGAATAAGCGCGTGCACGTCTAGAACGTGCTGACGTGAGACGTCTGCTTTAGCCAATCACAACTGTCAGACGCATTTACGTCCGCGCAGTTTATGAGAATAAAAGCCTTTGAATATTTTTCCAGACACATTTAGCTGCTAGAAGTTAGTCAGATCATGTTTATATGTTCTTCTTAATGCCAACTGTTTAAATAATCATCGATGAGATGCTTATGATAAGCCGTTGTTTGTTTACCTTCAAACTTTGCGTGTGCCAGTGAAACAGCCTGCGAGCGCTTGCACACGCACATATTATGAACATCTCGACATGCGAAAGTGATCCTGCGAAAGTTGTTCACAATATTGATTATCCACAGAGTTTGTAATGTAGTCAAATGCTTACAAATACAAGCGCAGCCGTTTAAGGCTCATTAGTGGTGAATGATGTCAGAATTTACCGGTATTTTGGAATGGTTGTGTGAATGCATTTTCCGGAAAATTTCCGTAACGTCCTCACCTGTGTGAACAGCGCTTTTTTGAATATACCGGTAAAGTCGTTCCGGAAATTTTCCAGATATTTACCGGTATCACTGTGTGAAAGGGGCTATTATCAGATTATATTTAACAATATGTAGGCTAGAGTAGTTATACTGACACTATAAACATTTATTTTCATGCACAACTCTGTTCGCTATGAAAGAAAAAAAAAATCAAATGCTTGTCGTAATCATAACTCTATAATGAGATATGATCATTTAAATGAAGTGCACACTTGCGGTTTTATTTTGACTAAGTGCTAAGAGCTTCATACTTCGCGCGCAGCTCCCAAACGATCACTCTGTGCCACAAACTGAATATTATTTAAAACTGTATTACCTGTTACTTACAACATTTGCAAGTTCTGTTCACTAAAGTAAGCGCGTGGGTGTCTATTATTAAATTGAGCGCGCTCTCACGGTCAGCAGCTCACATCACGTGTGATTTTCCGGCTGCAAAAACATCATTATATGAAAACAAAAATGACATTTTCAGGTGAATTATACCTTATAAATACAGTATGTGACACTTTTAACATCATTTGGAGGTGTCCATGTCACTGAGCAACATTATATGAAACATAGAAAAGACTCGTGCAGCCGCCTTTTCTTCTCTCCTTAACTTGAAAATATGATTGACAGAATCGTAGAACTGCTGGATTAAGATCGTCAAGGGGGTTGAATCGAGATCGCAATCTTTTTTCTATTAATTTTGCTGCTCTAATCCCTAATCATAACTCCTGTACAGCAGTCCCACAAAATTCTGACACTCGATGACACTGGAATACCCTGTCAAAAAGTCTAGTGGCTGTCAATGAGCTTTTTACAGTGTCTGCTATAATGTTAATGCTGTTGTTGTGTGTTTACATTGATGAGTATGGCCACTGTGTTAAACAGTATTGTTACGATCTTATTGCCACATTAGATCATTATGATAACATGTACCTTCAGTCATTTCCTGAAGATAAATACCCAAAAATAACAACTGAAATAAGTACAGCAGTCGCGATCGTCTGATCTCATATGAAGCAAGAAATCGCGAGGACATATGATGACGTGTGCAGGTACTGTAGTGCTGTCTCAATTCTTAGGGGTAGAATTTGAAGCCCTTCAACTTAACCCTCGGTTGTAAGGGCCAAGGGGAAGGGGTAGGGGTTTAAAAATAGAATTGGGATCGGGCCTTAATATTTAATCCACATAAATTTGTTAAAAGTGTTAAGTTAACTTAATTTGTGTTGTGACAACATGAAAGAATTGTGTGGAACCCTGCACAAATATGTGCACAAATAAGGTTGTCGGTTCATAATAAGTTGAAGCACATTGTCAGATTTTGCTGTATTTGGCTTAAGCATTCTTGAGTGGCTCGCAAATGTATAGATAACTCTAATACATAAAATAAGTAAGCTGACCAAAGTTCTTACGGGCAGAAGACTTTATTGAAGAGAATTAATTGTGCAGTTCATCAGCAGTGATGTTAACTTGTCTGTCTTTAAGTAACTTAAACCAAAATACAGTCTGTGAGACACTAATTTATAACAAAGGATGAAACCCCCCTGGAGATTACCCAACTGCTTTGGTTGGGTCACATCTCCTGAGTTCCTCTAGGTCATTTGGTTCACATCTTATCAGAAGTAGATACTTGTTGCATATGAAACAAGCCAATACAATCTATTAACATATAGAGTTATTTTGCCTTCTTGCAGCCCGATAGCAACTCTCACAACCTGGTACTGGGCTGTGACCCCTGATCTACACTACAAAACAGCTGGCAAGATCTTCACCCCTCTTCAGTTGAGTTTAAATTTTCAGGTGTTCAAAGGGTTTCATTATCAGTAACTTGATATGCATTCAAGAGTTCACACTTGTTTGGCATGCTATCCCGGGAGAGACCTAAGCTCATAAGATCCTCGAGCCCTGGGCTCCATCCCGTAAGCAGGACGAGAGGGGAGTGTGAGCTCAGGTAGATCTCGATGAACTCCCCAGACTTCTTTCTATTCTAATGACAGATATAGGGTCGGCTAAAGGGAGATATAAGGCTTACTAAGAGCTCGACTATGGTGCCAATTTAATGTTCAGTTTACTTAGGTTGTGTGTTTTTGGACTGTGGGAGAACACCAGGGGACCCAGGGGAAACCCACGTTAGCACAAGGAGAGTGAGCAAACTCTGCACAAAAATGTCAACTGGTTAGCAGGGACTTTAACCTGCGACATTCTTACTGTGAGGTAACAGTGCTAACCACTGGCTATTCATTGGCTGCCGTGTTGCCCAATCTAGAAAGGAGGGGGAGTAAGGGTGGGAGAGGGATTCTTCAAGACAAAGATAACTGAGTTAAGAGGTTATTTATAGTGAGTTAGGAATCATCTGAATGGTGAATCATGTTTTAGCTAATGCAGGACCGGCCGTGGACAATCATAAGCATGTGATCCTCTTGAAAGTAGTTTATAAATAAACTTCACTTGAATGAACAGCCAAACTACGTGAAAAAGCTGCCGTTTTGAATATACTCGTGTTTGTGTGGACAAGGCCTCAATGTTGAGGACTCTCCTCTCCATTGTGAAGCTTCATGTGAGTGTTGAGGCTTCTTTTACTTTTAAAGCCCTTTCCACATTCACTGCATCTAAAACGATCCTCTCTTGAGTGAGTCTTCATGTGTTTCTTCATGTTTTCTTGGTGTCTTTGCGTGTGAGACTCTTTCCACACTGATCACATGTGAACACTATGGTTCCAGTGTGACCATTCATGTGGTTCTTGAGGCTAGTTTTGGTTGTGAAGCTCTTTCCACACTGAGCACATGCAAACGGCTTCTCTCCAGTGTGAATCCTCATGTGGTGTTTGAGTGTGCTTATATGTGGGAAACTTTTACCACACTCTGTGCATGTGTAAGGTTTCTCTCCAGTGTGAATCCTCATGTGGATGTAAAGGTCTTGTTTTTGACCAAAACTCTTTCCACACTGTTCGCAGGTGTGAGGTTTCTCCCCTGTGTGAACCCTCATGTGAACATCAAGGTTTGGCTTTTGAAAGAAACTCTTTCCACACTGCTTACAGCTGAAAGGTTTCTCTCCAGTGTGAATTCTCATGTGAGTATTAAAGCTTTGTTTTTGACTAAAACTCTTTCCACACTGTTCGCAGGTGTAAGGTTGCTCCCTAGTGTGAACTCTCATGTGAACATCAAGGTTTGACTTTTGACTGAAACTCTTTCCACACTGTTTACAGCTGAAAGGCTTCTCCCCAGTGTGAATTCTCATGTGTGCTGCAAAGTTTCCAGCTTGATAAAAGCTTTTTCCACACTCTTGGCATGTGAACTTCCCCTCTCCAGTGTGAATTCTCATGTGAGCTTTAAAGCTTTGTATTTGACCAAAACTCTTTCCACACTGTTCGCAGGTGTAAGGTTGCTCCCTTGTGTGAACTCTCATGTGAACATCAAGGTTTGACTTTTGACTGAAACTTTTTCCACACTGCTTACAGCTGAAAGGCTTCTCCCCAGTGTGAATTCTCATGTGTGCTGCAAAGTTTCCAGCTTGATAAAAGCTTTTTCCACACTCTTGGCATGTGAACTTCCCCTCTCCAGTATGAATTCTCATGTGGGCTTTAAAGCCTTGTATTTGACCAAAACTCTTTCCACACTGTTCGCAGGTGTAAGGTTGCTCCCTAGTGTGAACTCTCATGTGAACATCAAGCTTTGACTTCTGACTGAAACTCTTTCTACACTGTTTACAGCTGAAATTACACCCAGATTTGGATTTCCGAAGTCTTCCGTGTGATGAAGTCTTTTTAGTCAGTGTGGGTTTTTCATCAGTCATTATTTCTTGGGGTTTCTGAAACTGCTGTTTCTCATCTATTTCATTTTGTCCATGAGTCTCTTCTTTCAGCACCATCAGATCTATAAAAAAAAAAAAGAGTTAACTTTAGTATGAAGGCTCAAAGCGATAAGCAAGAAATGGATGTTTCACCCACAAATGAAAATAACCTTACCATTTACTCTCCATTAAGGTAGTTTTAAACATTTCCTTTATTGTGGAACACAGTAAGCCAGTGTTTTTTTTTCTTTTTTTTAACATCTTATTTGTGTTCAACAGGATTAAGAAACTCATAAAGGTTTAAAACCACACAAGGAAGAGTAAATGGTGAGGCTATTTTCATTTCTACATCAACTATTCCTTTAAAAGGTTCCTACAATTACCCATTTTTTACAAGATGTAAAATAAGTCTTTGGTGTTCCCAGAATGTGTCTGAGGTTTCAGCTCAAAATCAGATCATACACCTTGTAGAATATTTAATTTAGGGGTCAGAGGAAAACCAAGCTCTTTTTGTGCCTGTGGCTTTAAATGGAAATACATGTTTAGAGTTACTGAAGTTTGTCCTGCACGCTTGTGTGTTTTTTTTAGTTACATATTTGGTTTGGTGCGTTAATCTTATCGTTGCTATTATTCAAAAGAAGGTAATGATTCACACTCAATTGCTTCGTACTGTTTTTATTTTTACTTTTTCTTACATTGTACGGGTGATAACGGACAAACAGACGTTTCGGCACGAAGCCTTCCTCAGTGTGTGGCATAATTCTCTAACTCCACCCTTTTATCCCATAGTCAATCACAATGTGCAATTAGTTAGACCTAAATATAAATAAATAATAATGTTAAAATATTTTAGATATTTCTTTGCAAAAAATCTTAAATATTGTGTAAAAACAAGAGAGCTTGACTAGGATCCACACACTTTTTTTCCAAAATAAACTTTCTTTAAAATAAAAAACAAATGAACAAAAGTTTTGAAAACTATAATAAACTAAATCTATGCACAACAATCTGTCCAGGTCGATGTCCTCAGCAGTAAATACATGGAGCACGTTTGAACAAATGAAGCACAAAAATAATTAAACTATTATGATAAATAGAGTTAAAATGATCTTTTTAAATGAAAAGTTTAAAGTTTTATTGAGATGGATTGTTGGTGATTGTATGAGTTTTGGCCAGGTTGGGTAACAAAACATGAACAAAGGAAAATAAAGACTTGTTTAAAAAGATTTAAGACCTACAACACAGTATTTCCGTAAATTTAAGACTTCTTAAGGCCTCAAATTTTAGGTTTTTGAATTTAGGACATTTTAAGACCCGGGTATTACATAGATCATATGTGTGAGAACTAGTAACAACTACTAAAAACAAGTTTAAACCCATAAAGAAGAATTGTGATCAACGTGTCATATGCAAATGGAAAGTACTAAGCCAACACCATCACCGTAATAGCAGATATCTTCTATGAGAATACTGTAGGTCAAATATCTTCAGCTCAGTTAAACTTTTTAATTTTTTGTTTTTATTTACTTTTTATAGCGCCAGTGCTCAAGGACGCTTTACAAACAGTAAGAGAACAAGAAAAGCAATAAACTTAAGAAGGTAGAGAAAATGAGAGACTAATAATACATAAAATAATGACAAAAGACATGAAAACAAGTGATGAAAGAAACTCATTCCTGTCTTTTCATTGAGTGCTTATGTGCATTTAGGAGAACTAGGCAGCACACTCAGGGCTTCAAGATGGATTTTGAGAATGAAAACCAACCTGTTTGTTCCTGCAGATCTTCCTGTTTGACTGTGAATGTTTCTTCAATCTTCACATCTTCACTCTCCTCTTTAATAAACACCATCTTTATAACAGTGTGGAGATCAGTCGCTTCAGCAGGAGTTTTTCTCTGTGTTTGGACACTTTATCCTGTTTAAAATTAACAAAACAATAAAAATGTCCTGTTTAAAATGAATAAAGCAATTAACAAAAACAAAATAACTTCTCTTCAACACTTGCTTCAACAGTTTCTTTATATAAGAGTGATTAACAAAAAGAAATTAGTTAAGTCTGAGCAAAAAACAATAGCCACAAAAGAGAAGATTAAGACCAGTACTTCATTTCTTATATATAGTTATGTTTACTTCGAATAGAATTACATTATGCTATTTAATAAATTAAACCTTCATTAAAACACTTATTACACACTTTACTGTTGCTTTATTCAAACTTTAACAAATGTTAATTATTTTGTTTGTTTTATTTATTTTAATGTCTGCTTACAGCAACGTTGTAGCACTCTTTTGCAGGAGACAAGAATTTACTCTTGTGGACAAATAAAGTTTATCCTATCTTATTCAAACGATAGACCTTACTGTGAGTAAAATAGTACTTCGTTGTATAAAGGGTTAAAATAATATTGTCAACAGCAGGTACATTTAGCATGAAAGGAACAACCTGAAATTTAAACCAGTCGGTTTACATCTGTGTAAAAGCTTTAAAACAAACCTTTCTCCAGTTGAATCATAGTACTGGGGTGGCGCAGCCTTATGATGTCACACCACCACGCCAAAATAAAAGTCTTTTTTAAAGCTTTTTCCCTCACTTACTCTTAGTCATGACTTATTGATACATTTCTCCCTTGTTTTCCACTTTTTACTTTATCTGCTTTCTGTTTTGTATTTGTAAGACCATCACTATTTATGTCAATTGAATAAATCTATTTACAACCACTAGATATTTGCCTTCAGGTAGGTTGTTAAGTGGTTGCATTTTCTTTAAACGATTGCATTTCTTCATCCATAACTTTAACCCACATTCACTTGCATTCACTGGTGTTACCACCTCTTTGTATGTTTGAATGGGAAAACATCAAATTCTCCAAAATTGCCAGCCAGGTTCCAACCTATATAATATGTTGTAGCTTATTTGGGCTACAGTCCATTTGTCAGGATAAAAACAATATTTATAACCAAATAAACAAACAAACAAAAAAGTTCCCATAAACAAAAAAGAAGCTTTTAAAAATGACTGAAGAACTTAAGACAGCGTTGAACAATGCATCCACGCATGTTTAGATTTTACATTTTATAATGTTAGCATTTAGATATTATTTGAGTGTAAATTCAGAACGTGCAACTCACCTTTTCAGTCTTCAATGAAGAAGTGGGATGAAAAAATGGTTGTTGTTGGTAATAATCCCAATGTAGGAATCTACAATAGTAGTTTGTCCTCCAAAGTTGTTCTCTTTACTTGGCGAAATAAGCCAATGAAGATTCTCTTAGGAACGCAGAATATAAAGATATCACCCTGCTGAGCTACAGGATCTGGAATGTGATTGGATAAGACTCAATTGGCCCCCATTAATGCTGGTATAAAGACGCAAATGAGCAGTGAAGACTCAAGACACATACAGTGGGGGATGGGAAGTCCAGCAGCTTTACAAATCATAGTTTTACATAGAAATAATGATGTATTGGGAAAATGAGTTGACTTTAGCCATCACTATTTGTTTTGTTGCTGTTGTTTTATAATACTATTGATTGAAGCGTTTTTATTTTGGCTGCTGCATTTTGTAGTTAATGTTGATACACCTATGTTGAGGTACTTTGATTTGAAACACATTTCAATTTATCTTTTCCAAGCCTGGTTAAAAGGTAATGCAAGAGTTGTGTGTTGTTTTTTTAGAAGCTTCTCAGAGTTTTGTGTGAGTTTAGAGTCCTTTATTTCTCTTAAAGCACATGCAGCTTATTACTGGCTTCTGTGAGACAGTCAACACACTCTTACCAGGTCAATTATTTCTTTCCAAAAGTCTCTATAGATTTGAACAATCAAAATGTAGCTTGTTTCTGTGCCACTTTTGTTTTCTTTCCTTCGTTTTTTAGTTGAACAGAACATGTGTGAGCAGCTCAGCTTTCGCAAAAGCCTCTTATTCACCTGATAGGTAACAAAGATGTTTTTCCCTCTATTTATCATTTGTGTTTGTGCATACAAATATGCGTAGACATTCACAAAAGCATATATAAGATACCCTGTGACAAAAGCTTTTGCTTTTAACACAGTAAAGCTATCACATACTGTCCATTTTTTTAATATGTCATGCATCTAAATATTTATAATCACAAAATAATTACATCACAAGGTAATTTATTGTACAGGCAGTTTATACAGGGTAATGCAATGACAAGAGTTCATTTTCATAACTACACAAAGCAGAACTTTTAATGTGATTAACCTGCTCCACCTACATCAACTACAGCATTTCTCAGACTTCTGTTTCACTATGGTGTAATTACAGTGGTGAACATCACATAAAACAACAACTGCACTTACTCCTGTAACTTGTTTGCAACAATGACATTTAAATATCTGTGTCACATATTCATTTAAATAAATGGCTCATCATTGTGTGCGGTCATCTTTAGTAATAGCTGCCTGATCTTTTACTGAATAGGGTCGTTTTACATATAAGAAACCTGTTAACGGGTATAGCTGTTAATGCCAATACCAACTTGATAGCCTAAAGCATATTACATGAACAAGACCTGCCTTTCATCTCTTAGGACAGTGGTTCTCAAACTGTGATATGTGTACCACTATTGGTACGCAGGCTTCCTTTTAGTTGTACACAGAGGAATGAAATATGTCATGTACATGCTACACACATTTCAAAATTTATCAAAAATTATGTATATAATATGCCATATATTATATATAGCCTATATTTCTGAGGTAATCTGCCACGTTTTTTAACTGTGCAGAGTTGTAGCTGCTTTACTAGGCCTACTACGCTACTGTATTTCAATACTGCTCATTTTGGTGGTACTTGGAGAAGCCATTTTTTTCTGAGGTGGTACTTGATGAAAAATGTTTGAGAACCTCTGTCTTAGGACAAATAATCATAGGTGTCTATAACAACACATGCTTGATTGACCAGATCTTTACAATCAGTACATCTGAATGGTGCCTTTTAGTAAGCATAGTTCTTCACCAATACCAGTTTAATACTTTATATAATTACACATGTGAGGCATCACAGTGGTGCAGTGGGTAGCATGATCGCTTGACAGCAAGACGGTCGCTGGTTTGAGCCTCAGCTGGGTCAGTTGGCATTTCTGTGTGGAGTTTGCATGTTCTCCCTGTGTTTGCGTGAGATTTCCTCCAGATGCTCTGGTTTCCCCAAAGTCCATAGACATGGTAGGCATGCGGTGTGTGTGAATGAATGTGTATGTTTCCCAGTAATGGGTTGCAGCTGGAAAGGCATCCGCTGCATAAAGCATGTGCTGGATAAGTTGGCGGTTCATTCCACTATGGTGACCCCAGATTAATAAAGGGACTGAGCTTTAAAGAAAATGAATAAATATATATATGAGTAATATATCACACGAGGAGCAGTGTGATGTGGCTTGCTATCTGTTTTTGTATTTATGTTTGTTGTAATGGCCTGTTGTTATTGCAATAAAAAAATAAATGAATATTTTTTTTAAAGTTCGATGTGGCTGTAGATGAGCACTGGTGGAAGGCGTGTGTTACAGTGTACACTAGTATCTCGAGAACGATTGTCCCTCTACCTGTTGTTTCAATCTCCTGACAACTTTGCTCATCTTCAGAGCTCCTTCATCTGTCATAGACAGCAAGAGTCCCGAGATGCTCAAAGTCCAGAAAAGGAACCAAAAACTATGCCAAAACATGTGACTTTAGTGGTTCAATTGTAATCGAATTCCAAGAACTTTTTGTGTGCAAGAAAATTTTGAAAAAAGCAGCCATGTCCAAAGTAGCAACTGTTGAAGCATAGTGGCTGTTTTTGCCTCTGTATTCTCTATATTTGCATTCAGCAGAAGAAACTCAAACAGGTTTGGCTCAAGTAGAGGATGAGTAAATAACAGAATTGTGATTTGTTTTTTTAAGTTAAACTACCCCTTTATTGCTTCTGTAAGTAAAGGTAAATTAAATATTTTACTGAATATATTGCTAAAAAAATGGCAGGAAACGTGGAACACAGAAAATAAGAGACAACAATTCATGTGGAAAAAGGAAACTCTATATAGGCCTATGAAGTTGTAGAAATAGAAAAGAAGAGGTCATAATTATGAGGATGAGATTTGGGCTCAGATATTAATAGGAAAGTAATGTGTTGTAGACATATACAAATCATTATAAAGTGGATTTAAAAAGTAAAGAAAATGTTTAGATTTAAGGTTTGTGTGAGAGAGCAGATATAGTGTAAAGTGAAAACCATGGGAGAAATGTATCAATAAGTCATGACTGCAACTGTAAGTGGCAAAAAAGCTAAACAAAAAAGACTTTTATTTTGGCATGGCATGTGACGTCATCAGACGGCGCCGCTTCAGCGCTGTAATGCAAATGGAGTAAGGTTTGTTTGAAAACGTTTACACAGTTATAAACCCATTTAAAGTTAAAGTTCTAAAGTTTTAGGGTTTTATACGGTTTATACGGCTAAAGTTATAGGGTTATATTATGTTACTGCTGTTAAAAAAATAATATTTTAACCCTTTATACAACTATTTTAGTATTTTAGTAGTACTATTTATTCTCAGTAACCGAAGGCTGTTGTTCGAATAAAGTAACAGAAAAGTGTGTAGTAAGTCTTTTTATGAAACTTTTTACCTGATTTATTTTTGTTAATCACTCTTATATAAAGAAAACATTGAAGCAAGTGTTGAAGAGAAGTTATTTTGTTTCTGTTCATTGTTTTATTTATTTTAAACAGGATAAAGTGTCCAAACGCAGAGAAAATCTCCTGCTGAATTGACTGATCTCCACACTGTTATAAAGATGGCGTTTATTAAAGAGGAGAGTGAAGATGTGAAGATTGAAGAAACATTCACAGTCAAACAGGAAGAT